AGTGGGTAGGGACCTAACGGACACCTTTTTGGGGAATGTCTAGCTGTCAGTATCTGTAGTTGGTTTACCCTGGGCTCATTTCTCTACAGAGGAATCTTACAGCCTCCTTCCTGGCAGCATTAGTCCGGCCGTCATCTCTTAAGAAGGGAGAGACTGTACAACCTCACTGTTTCATGTGCAGAGTTGTCTTTACTCCCTCTATTTTCGGTTTCATACCTGACCTTGCCCTGGGTGGTCTCCACGTACGAAGATCCCCTGTTTAAACTGCTGGTTGTTAGAGGGGTTAGGGAGAGAATCTGGGGGCAAAACTCCTTTTACAGACTTGCAAATGGTCCTCCTGTTTTCAGCCCCACTGCTCTCCCGCCTCTGAGGCGCCTTGGGCCACCAATTCCTAAGCCTCAGAGCACGAGTAGACATGCTTCTGAGCTCTACCCCTCTGATCAACCTGCCAGCCCTTTTCTTTTGCTTTCTGTAGCCTGCTGTCCATGATAAGTGGCCCATCAGCTTTCCAGATTCCAGAATTTTGCCGACATCTCTTGTTGGCTGTTCTGTCTTTTCCTTTTTTTTTGTTTATCTGTGTGATTTTGCGCCTTTTAATTCTTTTCCTGTAATTTATTGGGACTTCAGAAGGAATTGGAGGGGAAAGCATGTGTTCTCCCTGACCACTTTAGCCAGAAGTTTGGAAGACCGTCCTTCCAAGGCACCCAGTATAGTCTTTGGCTCATGGTAGGTGCTAAGTCAATATATGTAGGTCTTATTAAACTGGCATGGCTGATTTTAACAGAAGCAATAACCACCTAAGTTTTGTGTTAACTTTTTTTTCTCCTGAAGGATTAAAAAAACACCAAATGTAAGCGGAAGAGTAGTAAGTTGTTAATAGCCCTTAGGAAGTAAATATGACATCACTGAGAAAAGACCCATCCTCACTGCGAGTTTCCTGGTTTAAAGCCATTTCTCCTAGAATATATCATTGATTCCTCCGGATTCACTTGCCAGCTATGGGCTTTCTGGGTGTTGAGGCTGGGTGGCTCCAGGAATTACCAGATTTCAACTCATCTTGCTGGTGGGGAAACTGAAGCAGCGAGAAGGAGAGTCTTAGGTGCGTCTGTGGGGTTGAGGGGCCCCAGTCTCCCTGACCTCTGTTAAGTATGAGAAACCTGGACTCTGGGGGGACCCCGTGTCAGGCCGTGTTTCCCCCTCTGTTGGGACAGCAGTCCCTAACGTCCTTCCTAGAGAGAGCCTGGCTAGCAGAAAACAGGTGTCCTCAAGATCACAGAGTTGTGCTCTGCCCATCTTATTAAAAAGAAAAAAAAAAAAAAAAATTCCAAGCTGTTACTTAAAGTATGTGGTTATCATCTTGATGCTTGAATTCAGAGTACTTCCAGCCAGGTCTCAGAGCATTTCTTCAAGTCATCAGTGTTTATTGAGCCCCTTACTCTGTGCCAGGCTCCGTTCCACACGTGGGGGCACAGCGGGGAGCCAGGCAGACAAGGGCTGGCTGTCAAGGAGCTCGTGCTGTCGATGAGGGAGGCTGACCAGGCAGAAGGAAACGAGCAAATAGGGTATGAGAGACCCTGAAAATTGCTGTGGTGGAATAGAAAGGGTGCCCTGGTGGGCAGAGCACTCCAGGGAGAGGGGGGAGCTGAGGCAACGAGCCTGAGGGGGACCGAGTTCCAGAGAGCAGAGAGGCCACCTGGCTGGGGCTGAGGGAGGATGGAGGTGGCAAAAGGGGGATCCGGGGGTCACAGGAGGGTTGGCCTGGAAGCTGAGAAGGTGAGTCCTCAGGAGTACTGGCAGGTAATTGACTCCATGCTCACATCCATCTGATGGGGGCTGTGGGTGACAAGGAACTGGCTGGCTGTCACTTAAGGCCACCAGGGGCAGACTAGGGGTCACATGCTGCTGCCCAGGTCCACCCCCTCCCCGCCTCCTGCAGCAGGAAGCGCTGCCCCTCCCGGCTCCTGCCTGAGTCAGCGGCCCCAGGGCCCGGGGCGGGGCAGCGCAGCATATCCCGCGTCACCGTGAGCCGTGTCAATCACGCCAGCAGCACCGCTGGGAGATGAAACACATTCGCTTATAGAAAGCAAAGAAAGAACTTTTGATAACAAGCATCTGTTAATGGGCCTCTGAGAACTGTATACAATTTAAACTTTTTGTTAAAAACAAAACCAAAAAATACTCATTCACCCTCCTGGGAGCCTGTGCTATGAAATTACAAACTGCACGGGTTTGTTTTTGTTTTTGTTTTCCTTTTAAACGTGGCTGAACATACAGTGGAGAACATTTATTTTGTTCTGTTTTGAACTACAACTGTGGGTTTTACTTTGGCCTCTTCTGCTTAAAGCTGTCTTGGGTTCTATGTGGAGGGTCCAGACTTAACAATAAGGTGGGTCCCCATCCCTGGGAGAGTCCCCTCAGCCCTTGGACCCCAAACCCACCCCTCACTGGAGCCTAGAGTCTGGGAAGCATGGTTTCTTGCCCGGGAGAAAAGAGCCTGGGATCTTCTGTCAGCACCAAATGCTCCAGACCAAGAAGCCGGGGCTGGGAGGGTACCTCAGTCCAGTCAACGGGGCCAGGAACCTTCTCTCCTCCTGAGCACAGGCCTCCTAATTAGGGGAGGCCCAGCCAGCCCCACAGAGCAGCTCTGAACTGCTTTCCCCAAATACGGTCACGAATCCCACCCCTGCCAGGGACCAGAGTCCCAGAGGGACACCCCAAGGTGGAGGCTCAGCTCTCAGGCTCTGGGGCCTGGCTGCGGCGGCCTCGGGCTGGTCCCTCTCTGCTCCGAGCCTGCTTTCTTTCTGCAAGTTGCAGAGTCGCACCCTGCACTGTGGGGCCTCCCTCACAGGATGCCAGGCGTGTGGCAGTGACTTCTTCGCTGGCAAGGGTTAACCAGGATCACCAACGACCTGGTTTACCCGACTGTATTCACTGAAGTTCTACCGTGGGCCAGGTACAGCTGAAGCTGCTGGAAGAGATCCCAGTGACTGACTCAGTCCTTCCCTTGAGGCAGAGAATAAGCGTGGATAAATCAGACACTGATCAGTAAGCATTATAAAGAACAGAAAGCAGAGTGACGGGATGGATGGATAGGACAGCCGGCAAAAGGAGGCTGCTTTTCGGGGTGGGGGTGGGGGGATGCTCATGGTGGCTTCCCTGAGCAGGTGACATGTGGTCTGAGACTTGAATGAGGGGAGCTGAGCCTCTGCAGATCTGGGGGAAGAGCTGCTGGGCAGCGGCCGTGGCACATGCAAAGGTCCTGAGGCAGGAAACAGCTTGGTGTGGTCAAGAAACAGAAGGAACCCCAGTGCAGCCAGGGCAAGGGGAGGTCTCGCTAGACCTAGGGATTTTATTCTGTGTGCACTGGAAGCCCCCAGAGCGCTTTAATTAGGACAGGGCAGTGGCGTGAAGTGAAGGTGCATAACAGAGAGAGCTGGGGTTTACCTCCACTTGTTTCATTCTCTTTCACACGTTCTCTCAAGACACTTCTCTTCCTTTCTTTAGAACCGTAATCCCCTTGGTTGACTTTAATAACCAGCAGGAACATTTTTCAGGCTGTTTAATTTTATTAAAAGATTCAAATTTGATGATAAATGGTGGTGTGGCTGCCTTAAGCCTTGGATACAAGACTTGCTCAGCCGTGGACGTGTTCCCACCACCCACCCTCATCCCCACCAGGAACACTGCCACACCGCCCACCCCCTTGCAGTCTGAGACTGTAAATAAACAAATTATTTCTTGTACTTTGGTAAATATGCCACGAACACTCATAGCTCTCTGAGACCTACAGAGAATATTAACTCGGGTTTTTGGTTTTGTTTTTAAGAAGGCTGTGTAGATAGGGTAATTTCAGCGGGCTGATTGAACCCCACACAGCCGACAGAGGACAAGGGCTTCCCTCAGAAAGCACCATTAGCCTCACAGACCATTGTTGTTCAAGATCTGTGATAAGAGCCAGAGACAAGGGTTCGGGCAGAGGAAGGAGGGCGTGAATCATCGCACAGCATCCCGGAAACCCTTGAGCCCACCAGGATGCCGGTTAATTTCACAGTGTACAGACGAGGCTCTGGGAACACAGGCAGGGTCCCTGGAGAGGCACAGCCTGTCCCCACCTTGATGACAGCCCCCTCTGAGCACATTAGCACTGCAGCGAGCAGGCTGGGTGAGGGGTGGCCCTCTGCTCCCTCCTCCTCCAGATGTGACCGGGTACCCGCTGACCCTAGGATGGTCCCAAAGACGCGTCGGAGGTTTCCCTCCCTCCTTGTCAGCCAAGCACAGGGAATCTTGAAAACAGAGGACGCCTGTGCAGGGCTAATTACAGAGCACGTTAGTGTCACCGCTGTCATTAGTATTAATTACTTTCCAAAGGCTGGAAGCGCCGCTTTCCTCCAAAGACCTGACCCCGGCTGCCAGCCCTACACGCTGGGGTTCGGTGTGGATGGGGCTGCCTTTATTTGCTTCCCGGCCGGGGAGGGCTGGATTTACCCGCTCGCCGTGTTGACAGCTCGAGGCCTGAGTCGCAGAAGCACAGGCAGGCGCAGACAAGACGCCAGCAGTCACGACTCGAGAAAGCCGAGCGGCTCCCAAAGAGGCGAGCCGAGCCCCCTGCCAGCGAGCTGAGACGCGCCGGGAGCCCGAAGCAGCATCTTTAATTCATGGCTCGGGTTTCCGTTTGTATTGCTAAATTCAAATGAATCATCTTTAAACAACAACCCACGGACTCTGCAGAGCAGCGGCAGCACGCGCGTGCAGAACCGTGTTTCCATTTCACTGAATCTCAAGGGCTCAGGGAGGGAACTGGGGTGCCGTCGGGCAGGGAGACGGGTGTGGTCCACCCCTCCGGCGCTGGTCCGCGCGCTGCCCGGGAAAGTTGGGAGAGAGCGCTTAGGAACTCGGAGCAGTTGACGTTGCTGCGGTGCCCGAGTTTGTGGTCATGATTCGCGTTGCTAGCCGTGGTGTAGGCTCTGCAGGCGCTGTTGAAGCTCAGGTCCTGAGCCACTTAGGATGCAGGCCGGGCTGTGTAACCGTCCAGGACGGTCACGGGTGGAGGAGTCTGTGCCAGAAGGGAGTCCATGGGGTCGGACGAGTGTCCTGAGGCACCGTCTGGAAGTCAGAGACCAATTTCATAGCCACTGGAGGAAGGCCAGCCCGAGAACCAGAAGCAGGAAGGGGAGAGGGGCCGCTGGGGGGCCCAGCCCCCCACCGCTGACGGGCGTCTGCAGCAGAGGCCTGTGCTGCGGAGGCCTGGAGAAGCCCCAGGCCACCCTGTCACAGAGCACCAGGGGTGCTTGGTAGGATGTGGGCCTCTTCTCCGGGGTGTCGGGACTGGAGCCGTCAGTGGGCCTTTGTCCGATGAAGAGCAGGCTTTGCCCGAGGGGGCCCTCCTCCATCTTGAAGAGCTCGTACTCCACGTGGGGGAGCCGGATGCCCAGCGGCAGGCACCCGTTGGTGGCGGTGACATCCCGCTCGGCTCCCAGGTACCAGGCCCCCGGGCCGCCACAGCTGCTCGGCTCGGAGAAGTTGAGCATGGCCGTGGTGACCCGGTCCATGGGGGTGACACGGGCTCGCGTGACCTGGAACACCAGCTCGGTGCCGCCACGAACCCTGGCAGACGGCGTGCCCTTGGTGTAGCGGCCGGCTGCGTAAACGGTGAAGGTGGGCTGCCGGCAGGTGGGGTCCGAGAAGTGGTGGTAATACCCTTCCCAGGAGCGGTTGTGCCCATGGAAGGTGAAGACCCTGGTGAGGAAGAGCACGGCAGGGCGCACCTCGCACTCGGGGCTGACCCAGCGGCCGCCCAGGCGCAGGGGCAGGGCCGCCTGGCGGGGCAGCACGGGCGGGTGGTGCTCGTCGGAGCGGGCGATGAGGCTGCAGGCCGGGCAGGGGCGGGCGTGGTGCTGGCAGAGACAAAGGGAAGGCGGTGACTTCCGAGGCGGGGAGGTCAGGGTGCACCCGCGGCGGGCTGGCTCGGGGTCCCGCACCCGGCCGCCCGTCACCCCTTCCCTCCCCCCTCTGCAGCCCGGACGGTCACTTCACTCTTCGTGGACCTCAGGCGGCTCCTCCATCCTCTGGGCCTTTGCACCTGCTGCGGCTTCTACCCGGAACTCCCCCCGGCACGTAGCCTGGCTGCCTCCTTCCCGACCTCTCAGTCTCAGCTCAGAGGCCTTAGAGAGACTTTTCCCAACCACCCCTTGTATGGTGGGCCTCAGCCCCTCCTGGTGCTCAGGAACGTGTCACGCCCTATTTCCCCTGCTCTCCACTCCTTCCCCTTCACTGGAGAGTGAGCTCCAGGAAGCCCAGGCTGTCTCTCTGTGGCTGCTCCATCGCCAGGGCCTAGCACAGTACCTGCTCGCAGCAGGTGTATTGGGCAAACGAAGGAAGGAGAGACGGATGGAACTTGTGTCCTGGGATTTGAAAGAAGTTGTCCTTTCCCACACCCGGCCTGCTTGTTCCCGAAATTCGGCCGTTCACGTTTACTGCCTTTCTCCTGCCTGTTGTTACTTCCACCACCCCCAACTCATTCTTTTTTAGGTGCTTCGTAAGGGCCAGGAGCTGTGCTGAGCACTTTTCATGCACTGTTACCTTACAGCCGCTAAAATTCTCATGCCCTTGGAACCCCTTGCTGAGCATCTGTGCTGAGGCGTGGCTGAAAAGTTGCAAAGAGATTTGGCACAAAGATGTTCATGCTTGTGTTATTTATAATGGGAAACCCAGCCCCCTCTGCGTTGGTTGTCAGGTGCAGCCACAGTCCTCAGTTGCCCGAGGCTGTTTTCCTCTCGCTTTGGCCTTATTTACAGTTGCCCCTGTCTTGTAAATTCTTAGGAGCTGGGTTTACAGTAAAACGCGTCAACAGGAAGCAGATGCTAAACTAAGTTGCGTGGGAGTAGTCGGTCTGCATTCTGGAGTGGAAAAGCTCAGTCCAGGCCAGAAAGAAACCAGATACAGACTTTTTTTTTTTTTTTTTTTTTTTTAAGGGAGCTGCTGCCCAGAATTTAGTTCAGAGCATCATTCTGAGAGGTAAATGTCCTGGAACAGCCGCTTGTCAAAGCAAGCGTCCCCAGCTTCTGCAGTTCCAGAAGGACACCCAGGGCCATGGGTGCACACAGGACAGGGAAGGGGAAAGGCATCTTGAAGCGCCCCAGCTGGGAAAACAGCTCCAATGTTTTTTGTTCAAAAAACAAAAGATTTCCATAGATTGCTGCTGGATGAGTTTCATGCCAAACAAGGGGGCATTTGGGAGTTCCAGTTTAGAAAGAAAATATTGGATGATTGAGAACAGACTTTTTTTTTTTTTAATTTTGGATTGCTACATTATAAGCTCTTCTTATTTATTTCTATGGTGAACCTAAAGTTGTCTTTTTTACCATAATACAGAAAACGGTATTATTTTTGGTTTGGGGGATTTTGACCCAGAGGACTAGAAGGCACTTGGAAATGCTAATAAATGGCTACAGAAAGGTTTGTGACGGAAAGAAGCAAGAAAGCTGGGTAGTTAGCTGGCGTGCAGGTAATTGGAATGCTGGCTGGTAAGAGTCTCCTCTCATTTAGGCATTTTAACCCACATTCCAACTGTTGTTACACTCATGTGTATTGACAGGACATAGTGCATTACACCAAAATAATCTCAGGGCTGCCTTTCTCCCTCAAAAGAGATATCTTTTGCAGACAGGACATCTGGGGATGCTGGTTGGTAATTTGGGGCAAGCAGTTTTCTGCATGGCTGGAGAACTAGCAAGACTTGAAGGTGAGAGAGGGAGAGAGAAAGCATTTCCCTCTCTGATGCTTTGGAAGGGGATGGAAGAAAGTACCTGTCTCTATCAAAAACCTTCCAGGCATCGTCGTGCACAGGTCCGGAGTTGCACGTGTTAATAAACAAGGCCCCAGCCAGCAGAACTCACACTTGTATGCAAGCCAAACTCTTACTGGTTTCAGCCTGTTATGTAAAGTTATACCAGCAGCACATACAGTTTCTAGTTAACTCCCAGAGGCGACACCAGGCTTAGATGATTCTGCTCAAGCGGTGACTGATTAGGATTCTATATCCAGGCAATGAATTTGGGAATCAAATTGGTTTTCAATTAATTAACTTCTAAAAGTGTTCATGTTTACCATCTGGTTTGGGTTGTGGGCAAGGCTTGGGCTCCGGAGAGCATAAGGTAATGACTGATTCGTTACCTGGGGGGTTTAGCTGCAGTGTATCCTTCTGTGAAATTATCTTCCTTTTTCTGTTTTCTTATGCGGAGGGGGGCGGTTGGTGAGTGAACATCTAATTGAACATCCGTACATCTGGCCCTGCTGGTCCTGTATGTTCTGCTTGGCAACTGCATTGCAGGTTGCATGGGCCACCCTGGCTGGTCAGGCAGCAGGAGGGCAGGAGTCTGCAGCCCCAGAGCCTGGCCTGGGGAGACATGACATTGTCATCCTCCGTGCCCCGGGGTCCGTCCTCTCTGCATTCAGAGCAGTGTGCCCTCCTAACGAGGTGGTGGGTGCCGGTAATCACCCCGCCACCAGCGCCTTCTCGGCTCTAAGAAGGATGGACGTCAGACCAGCCTAGAACATTGGCTGCCTAAAGGGGAATCGTTTCGAGGTCATGAAGAGAACTCAGGCTGATTTTCTGATCACGAGGGCTTCGCGTTGTGCTTCTTCTCTGCTACCCAGATCTCTGGTTGGGAGGAGGGAGGTGGGAGAAGGAGAGCAGATGGGCTGAAACCTGGTGCCCCTCCCCCCCCCACACACTGGGGATGCTTTGACAAGAGGCTGCTCTCAGGGGTGACATGTTGCCCCATCCGGTTTAATTCCGTAAGTGTCTAGTATACAGCAGGCACTCAGTACATGCTGAACATGTGAGGGTTGCCTGTGGGCTCAAAGAGCACTTGACAGGGATGCCTGAACTCATCCATTCCCCCATCCATCCGTCCATTCTCACTTTTGAAAGATATCCCTTGGGTATTTCCTACAGACATTCTTAACCCAGAGTCCTAACCTCGACTTCATGTTTACAAACCGCAACCTAAAATCAAAAGTTTCTTCTAATTGTGAATGTGGGCAACAGACCCCTGTAGCTCCAGTGGAAACTTCTGCTTCGTGGCCGATCTCATGTTAACAGTGTTGCAGATACTAGAAACACTGTTTATACTCATTGCTACTTTGAAATAGGGAGAATAAAGAATTCCCATTCATAGTAATCCCACCTCAGAGTGTTTTAAGACTTGGGTAACTCTTTTCATAGAATTGGTTTCTGTTTAAATCCCATGTCTTTTATTTCATGCTTTTACAAATATTTTTCTGAGGAGGGGTCCTGGGGTTTCAGCAGACTCGCTGGAGTGGTCACGAGGCCCTAGCCTTGCCCACCAGGCTCTGTGCTATGTGCCAGGAGAACTTTACGTACATAAAGTTCAGTTTCTTTTTGCCTGTGTGCTCGTCGGACAAAAAAGGGGTATCAGATCTTCCCCAAGTCAGGAGAGTATGTTTGTGATGTCTTTAAGCTGAAGTCTAGGTTAATTGACTTACGTGAAATTCACTTTGGGGTGGGCACATCTCAAAGAGAGGGCATCTCCCTTTAGACTGCAGCCTCCGGCCCAGAGGGTGGTCCATGGACCACCTGGGAGCTTGTTAGAAATGCAAAATCCCAGGCCAGACCCGCAAACTTGACTGTGCTTTCTAAGAAGATGCCCAGGTGCCGGCATCTTGAGAACAGAGTGTGAGAAAGCGTTGCTCCGCCTGATGTTACTATGACGGGGAGCGCTCAGCGCTGCTGGCTGCGGGGTAACAGTGGGTCCACACGGAGCTTTCCAGAGGGGCCTCTGAGGGCTGTGCGGCCGCCTGGCAGAGCTCTGGAGGAGCTGCCCCCCTAGTTCATTCACCAGCATTTACTGGCCCAGCCCGTGTGCCAGCCCCTGGGCCAGTTGTGGGGACACGGAGGGGCACAGGGCCTCCCCCGCCACAGGTGATATTGGGAGAAGACGGTCAACCAGTAAACAAACAGTGCAGCCCAGAGTGTGCCGGGTGCTGGGAACCGTGCAGAGTGGGGATGGGAGGGAACGTCTGAGCCGGGAACTGAGGGAGGGGGGACCTGCCCGTGCATAGCAGGGGCAGGAAGGGACCCTGCCGGGTCCACGAGGAGAATGTCAGGAGGACCACACTCCAGAAGACTCCCCAGGAGTTCCTTCTGTCCAGACCTGAGAAAAGATGTCTCGAGCAGAGGGAAGAGCATGTGCAAAGGTCCTGAGGCAAGCAGACCAGTGCGGGTGGGGGGTGGGGGGAGGGGGGGCTGTGCAGAGAGGGCCCTAGGCAGGGGCAGATCCCACAGGCTGTCAGAGCTCGCCCTCCCGGGGCCCCAGACTCACCAGGGCGCTCTGCAGCGGGCGCTGGTAACCGGTGGGCCGGTAGTGCCGCCGCTCCGCCCGGTCGGTGTGAATGTCCCCCAGGTAGAGCTCCTCCACCAGCCGGGGCGCGTCCCGGGGCTCGGGCTGCAGGCGGCGCTGCACACGGACCAGGCTGAGCTCGTGCATGGTGAAGCCCAGGGCGGCCGCGCAGTCCCGCTCAGCCCCGGCACCCAGAAGCTCGTACAGGGCCCCCGGCAGCCAGGCCCGGGCGGCAGGCAGGCGGTGCGCGCAGGTCCGGCCGGCCCGGCTCTGGTCCAGGCGCCCAGCCACGTCGAGCAGGGCGCTGCGGCTGTGGAAGACGACGCCCACCTTGTGCAGGTGGTAGTCGGCCTCGGTGGCGCCCCGGGTGACCCAGGAGGCCCGGCGCAGGCGCACCTTGCCCTTGATGAGCAGTGAGTGGGCGGGCTCCCGGCACGAGGGGTCCCTGTAGTAGAACTGGTAGGCGCGGAAGAGGCGGTTGGGATAGAAGGTGTAGGAGCGGGTGAGGAACTCGGGTCCCGGGCGCACCTCGCAGCTGCGGGGGCAGAGGGGGGTTGGGCAGAGCAGTGAGTCCCCCAGCCTCGCTCCGGGATCCCCCTCCTACAGCCTCTGTTTCAGGCCTCAGCTCAGGGCTGGGAGCCTGCAGCCTCAGTTTCCCCAACTGATCTCAGCCCCACTTTGAGGGCTGGGGGCCTTCCACTCTTGCCTTGTGGCCTCAGCAGAAGCTGTCCTTCATGCCATCCCAAATGCCTTTTTCAGCGGACATCCACCCTCCTGGCCCGGCTCCCCGTGGGTCCCATGGCTCCCCCTTGGCCCAAGAAGCACACAGGCTTTGCAGCCAGAGGACCCGGGTTCAAATCCCATTTCCGTCCCTCCTGAGGATCGTGAGCCTGGATAACTCCTGGCTCCTTCCTCTGGGACTGGGAGGCCCTGGATGCACAGTCAGGGTTTCGAGGAAGCAGCCAGCACAGTGGTGGCACCTGGGAGGAGCTTAAGAAACGGGGGCTCCTTCGCACCATTTGGGGAGCCCTGTGCTCTGAGCTCCTGGGGGCAGGGTCCTGCCTGTTCTCTCCCCGTTGGGCTCCTGGCACCTGGTCCAGGGCCTGGCACACACTGGACCCCCAAACCCTGGTCCTCGCTGAGTGAATCGTGAATGATGGTGCTTACATTGTCTCCCCGCTGGCTAAGCTGACGGGCCCCCTGCCACCACATTTCACCCACATCTGTGACAGGCTTGTTGATCTAAACCAGAGAACTTTTCCAGTGAAGGGTCAGATAATAAGTATTTCTGTCTTTGTGGCAGTTACTCAAGATCGTGGTTCCGGAGCTAAAGTAGCCAGAGACAGTATGTACATGGTGGGCGTGGTTGTGTGCCAATAAAACTTTATTTGCAAAGCCAGGCGTCAGGCTGGCCCTGACCCCCGGGCCCTATTCTGCTGGTGATGAAACCATGACTCCTAGACCCCCAGTCACACCCTGGCTTTGGGGTGGATGGTGGACAAGTTCCCCGGGAAAAAGAGCAGGCAGGTACCCCCTGCACAATGTTACGCTAACCAGGTGCCACCTGTACTGTTATTTTCTCGAAATGTTTCATACCAGCGCTGCTGGAGCAGGAGAAATATGTTCTCGCTCACCCTTTTCTTTCAGTCTTTCTGGTTATATTAAGGAGAGAGTCACGGCTGGAGTTCATGTGTCTTTAACACCAATCTCCCTTTTCTCCCAAAGTGAACAGACTCAGGGCCTTAGGCAGGCAGCGAATCAGGTGAAAATTTAATGATGTTGTTTTGTTTTCATTGACTTTCTTTTTTTGTTTTTTTGCGGTACGCGGGCCTCTCACTGTTGTGGCCTCTCCCGTTGCGGAGCACAGGCTCCGGACCCGCAGGCTCAGCGGCCACAGCTCACGGGCCCAGCCGCTCCGCGGCATGTGGGATCTTCCCGGACCGGGGCATGAACCCGTTTCCCCTGCATCGGCAGGTGGACTCTCAACCACTGCGCCACCAGGGAAGCCCAGACTTTCTTTTTATGGTTTCCTCCTATTTATGGCAAGTGGCTCAGCTCCCCATAGCCATAGTGATCTTACACTTCCTTTAAAAATAATCATAGTGCTGTAAATGTGCACAGTATACCAATTATCCCCCAATAAAGCTATAAAAATGCATGAATATATTTACACCAGCAAAAGCAAGTTGGTTTAAAGAAAAATCGTAAGGAAATACCAGTACAGGCAGTAGTTAAAAATGGAGAGAGGTGACTCACATGCCCGAGGGTGGGAAGATTTGCCCAAAGGAACGCAGCAGGTCACACCAGACAGCTCGGTGGTTCCCAGACTCTGGGTCTTTCCCTGCACTAGTCCCAGAAAATAGCAAAGCCTGTCTGAAGGGTACAATAGGGGACTTTCTAGGAAGAAAATATTAGAAGTTTCTAGAACTCTCTGGAATGCTGTTGTCTTGGGGCAGGAACAGCCTGCAGCCAGTCCCCATCCTCCCCATGTCTCAGTTCTGTCTCAGAGTGACCCCGGCCAGTGGTGCATGAACCCCACCTGGCCTGTGGAGTCGAGGAGGGGGCAGAGCCTGGGAATGCATCCAGAGCCTCTTTGCAGAACTCAAGTCCCCTTCCTCCCCCAGTGCGCTAGCAGATGCTTGGCAGTTGGATTTTTCCCTGACCTTGGGAGGTGCGTGGAGGACATGGAAAGTCCGTTCCCTGACCCCAGGATGGGACTGGCCCAAGGGGCTGGCCGGGGAGGAGGGGATGTACTAGGTGTAGAGGAGGACACTGCCTTCCTTCTCCCTGACACTGGGAGGGAGGACCCAGCTGGCTGCCCCGCACATGAGGGCAGAGCACAAAGCCCATCGCCCCAGAGCAGCACTGAGGCCTCTGAAAGGTCAGGTGAGCCTGTCAGGTTAGAAGGAGAATTGGATGGGCAGGCAGGACCCCGGGCCCTCTCTGGCCTACTCCTTCCGGCCTCGGGACCTTTGCACCAGCTGCTGCCTCTGCCTGGCTCCCTGGATGGCTGACTCCTTCCTCCTTTCAGATCTCGACTGAATGTCACCATCTCCGAGAAGCCTTCTGTGACCGCCCTCGAAAGAGCCCTCCCGGGCCGCTCACTCTCACATCCTCCCTTTTATGTCTTTCACCGTCTCAAGTTTAAGTCACTTATTTCTGTGTTTAGGGCTTGTCTCCGCCGCAGCTCCCCCTGCACCCAGCTCATAGTAGCTCCTCAACAAGTGTTTGCACAGCAGGTGCTCAGCGTGTGGAACAAGTGCATTTCCTCCAGTTGCTGTCTGTGGCTGGGGCGGGATGCCCGACACAGTCCTGACCTGCCAGGCTCACTCTGGGGAGGGCGACAGCAAGCACGTGCTTGGCAGGCCTCTGGACAGTTGCACGAATTGTGCCCGTTTCACAGATATGGGACACTGAGGCTCAGGGTGGGTGAAGCCTCCAAGCCCAGGGGCCTGTGGTCAGCGTGACCTCAGCAGGGTCTTACCCAGTGGAGATCCAGGGCCCGTCCAGGCGTGGGGGCAGCAGTGCGGTGACGGGCGCTCTGCTGGGCAGGAGCTGCTGGCAATGTGGTCCCCAGCGCAGGCGGCTACCCTCTGCCATCCCGGCTGCCTCTGCAGTGTGGGCTGCAAAGCAGACGGACCCGGGTCAGCGATCCCAGCACACCCTGGTTCTTCACCTGCCTGGCCGGCAATGGGCTCCCCAGATCGGGGCGCCTCGAGTCAGCCTCGGGACTCATCTGCCTTCTGCGCGCCTGCCTGCCGTGGCCGAGTGCCGCCGGGCAGTGGCGGACGGGCCCTGCACCCGGGACAGGAGGCAGCCTGGACTCAGAGGGGCCAGACGGTGGGACTCCCACCCCCTCCCACCAGGAGCCCGGGCTCTGCTTGACCTCTGCCCCTGGAGCGGCCAGACCTGTGCCCGCCGCGCGTGGCCACTCCGTTCATGGTCCCTCCGTGGTGCCAGGCCCGGGTGTCGTCCATCCCCACAGGTGGGACCTGGCCGGCGCCGGCTCACCGTGGTGCTCACTCGGGATGCGTGTGGTGGGGTCAGGCTGAGGCGTGAGGCCAGCAGCGGGGCCAGGGGAGGGCTCGGAGGCCTCAGGGAGGAGGCTGTGAGCAGTGGGGCAGGCCCGGGGTCCCCGCCCTCTCCAGACGGGCTCATCTCGTGGAGACAAGCCAGGCCTGGCCGTGGGAGCTTCACTTCTAGGAGCAGCTCAGAGGTGAGACCACCAGGGCCTTCAGCTGCCAAAGAGCAGCAGCTCCCCTGGAAACTGTCATCCCTGCTCAGAGTCGGGCTTGACGCAGCCCCGATGGCGGGATGTATGGGAAGCCTGGTGAAGGGCGGCATCCCGATGTTACAGCGACAGGCTGCACTCAGGGGCGGCCCCCTCGACCCGCCGGCCCCGCTCCTGCGACAGGCCTTCCCGGGGCACTTGGTCCCACCACGCCTGTGGCTGAAGTGGGTCGGGGGGCGCGGGGGCCTGGCGGAGATGGTGGGCAGCTGGAGAGACTTGCTGGGCCGGTCCAGGAGGGCGTGTGGGCTGAGTGAGGAGTGAATGCATGGTGCCCCCTGCTGCCCACCCCCCAGCACACAGTCACGTGGTCCTGGCAGGGTCAGGAAGGGCAGTTCGGCCAGGGAGCCTGGGGTCCCCGCCCTGCCCCTTTGAAGCCGTCTGACGGGGCCCGTGGCCCCCAAGCTCTCTGCCCCCCTCGGCCTCTCACAGTGGATTCCTCACTTTCCTGGAGGTCTGGGGTCTCACCAGGAGACACTCGGGGTCCCCAGGGACCAGCTGTGAATACTGGAGTGACACCGACGGGGACCACGATACGGCATCAGTGGTTCCCGTTCACTCAGGACCGGCTCCGTGCATTTGTATTATATTATCTTACATTTGTGTACGTCAGCCCAGGAGATGGTGTTGGCATCGCTGCCTCTGATGGGTAGAGCCACGGGGCTGGGCGACCTGGGCTTAGCTGGCCTGGGGCCCAGGCTGCCCGCGGTGGCAGAGCCGGGCTTCGAGCCAGGCTGTCGGCTGTGGCCTGACGGCTTAACCGTGGCCCTTTTGCATTGCAGGCAGGGGGAGGGGCTGAATGAAGGAATGAGTAAAAATCCCGTGTAGCCCTGGGTCCCTGTATATTCCTGCTGTATCCTATACCTGGTTTACAGGCTTTAAACAGCCAAATAAGAGAGATGAAAATAAACAACCAGTGTACTAGGGCTGTGGTGTCCCCACGGACAGTGGGCACTTGGGCTGCCCCAAAGGCTCTCAGGGCCATTCTGCAGTGAGTCCACGCCAAGGGCAGTCTTGAAGGAGTGGTTCTGTGTTAACTCAGGCACATCTAGCCTTTTGGGGACCAGAGCCAGGATGTTGGGGTGGACGGATGGCCATGCACGTTGGGCCGAACGCCCAGCATGGCCCCATCGGGAATCCTGAGCTGGGACATACGTGCATCCGCGTCCACGGCTCACGCCTTCTTGTGCTCCTGAAATCAACTTCACCCGGACCCTCTGGGTCCCCTGGATCCAATTCTGCGGGTTAATTTGAACATCACTGGTTGTCAGTGAAGCTTGACAATGCAAGTGTTGATTTGGGGAATGGATGGGAGCAAAGGGAAGAAAAAGGTCAAAAGGGGGTGGGTGTTATTTGCGTGGTGGGAAAATCAAGCTTATGTCTCAGAGCAAAACCGTGAACAGGCCCCGAATATGACACCGGCGCTGCTTCCACAAAGCTTGATTTCTTGAGGAAATGTTTTCTGTCCAAAAGGAAACGAGCCTTTCCCCCAGGTACTCCCTCTGAAGGCGCGTTGAAGAGATGTCGCCTTCACGACGTTATATTTTGACACGAATCCTGAGATAGTATGTTCCCGCTAAGTGTGTTTTATTTGTCTTGCTTTTCTGCGAGAAATGGGGATTTAATTAAGTCAGGAGACAAAGAGATACGGTGAAATCTCACCATATTCAGAACATGTACATGCAAAACGCAACTGGAGCCCTTCTTTGTAAAAACCCGAGCGGAGCATGACACTGCCTCTCGGCTGAACCTTCAGCTTCAAGGTTGCAAAAATGAAACCAACCGACTAGAAATGAACTCATGAAATGTTTCCAGTCCCAGCTTTGGAGGTAGCTCATAGATTTCCTTTCCTTTCTCTCCCTCTTTTCTCCCCTAGAAAAGTCTGAGCTCAGGGAACCACAACTGAAAGCAGATGGTGCCCTGGGCCGGCTTGCACAACTTTTCCTGGGGACCTGATAGACTGAGTTAAATGCGTGGGCCAAATTGATTTTTATCAACCATGGATTTTTAATTAACAGTGGTGTCCACTTACCGCCATCCATTATTTACTGTTTACCCACTAATTAAAAATTATGCTGCTTTTGCACTCATAAGAGCAGGACATTTGAAATTAGATCGCATCGTTCAAATTACCTGCAGAATTAAATCCAGAGCGTCGAATTGCTCAGACCAGGCTACTGGGGTTTAAAATATGATCTGCTCCAGCCTGTTGCATGATCATGAGTCAGAACGCCAGGAGCAGGCTACATGGCAAACATCGTGTGGAACCTGCCTGGGGTCTTAGTGGGGAGGGAGACCTTGGAGTCTGTCTTGAGCGGACGTTGTCTCACCCAGGAATCCCAGGGAAGGCAGCCTGTCGGTGCACTGATGGAGTGCTTCCAGGTGGCGGCCATACCTATGGACCAGCAGGTGTCATCTGCACAACTGCCCATGGTCCAGGTTCAGTCAATGCCCCCGTTTTGCGGATGAAGAAACTGAGGTTCCGAGGGTGGAGAGACTTGGCCACCCTACCCCAGGCAGCTGCTTCTTATCCAATTAACAAATAAAATATGGTAAAATACACCTAACATAAAAGTCACCATTTTAACCATTTTAAAGCATACAATTAAAATTCGGTGGCACTTAAGATGTTCACCAGGCTATGCAAACATCAGCTCTGTCTAGTCGCAGAATTTTTCATCACCCCAAAAGGAAACTCCGTACCCATCAGCCCGCCTCACTCTCCACGCCTCTCTCCTCTCAAACCCTAGCAGCCAGTAATCTGCTTTCTGTCTCTACGGATTTGCCTATCCTGGATATTTTGTATAAGTGGAATAAAAAACATCTACCCCTTTCTTATCTACTTCCCTTTTCTTATCTACTTTTCTTATCTACTGTTCACAACACTTCTATTAGATGGACGTGATTATCTTCATTTTCCAGATGAAAAATGGAGCCTTGGGAGAAGATTTACACCCAGGTCCACCATCCGTGTTTTCTTCAAAGAACGTGAAAAGTGTAGGTCTGAATCAATGGTGGGGGGTGGGAGGGGTGGAGAAAAGACATGGGGTTTGTAGCCAGAGCAGATGGAGAAATAATCAGGTCTTCAGATACCTTTCTTTTAGGGGCAAAAGGCAAAAGAAAAGCACTGTTTTTTGTCCCCCCCCCATCCTAATTGGCTTGTTCTGAGGTTCTGGGAGGTGTGCCAGGTGATTCTAGGTGCAGTGGTGAGCATTTCTTATCCCAGCGGTTATGCATCGATTTTAAAGGGTGTTAGAAAGCAGCTGCAGTTACCGTAGCAAAATTGTGCTTTCACAGCCCACATTGCCAAGGACAAGACTGAGTTTTAACAGGGGCTTGGTCTGAACTGGATTTTAAAAAATTAAGTAATACTTTAAGTAAATAATATTTAATAAGTAACTATTTAATAAGTAAACGCGGTCAATAGCCTGAGGGGGGTGCACAGAACGAAGAGGGAGAGACGGAGGTTAACACATCACTTCCCCTCACGGCTGTGTGTCCTGGAGCCACCACCACAAAGGACAGCAAACTGGGGGACCGAAAACAGCAGGACATTATTCTCTCACCGTCTGGAGACCAGAAGTCTGAAATCAAGGGGTGGGCAGGGCCGCGTTCTCTCCTGAGACTCTGGGGGAGGGTCCTTCCTGCCTCTTCCAGTTCTGGGGGTTCCAAGCATCGTTGGCTTATAGCTTCATCCCTTCAATCTCTGCCTCTGTCGTCACAGGGCCGTCTTTCTTCTCTGTGTGTCTGCAGCTCTGTATCCAAACCTCCCTCTCTTTCTCTTATAAAGACACCAGTCACTGGATTCGGGTCCACCCTGATCCGATATGACTGCGTCTACATCCGTAAAGACCTTATTTCCAAATATGGTCACATTCACAGGTACCAGGGGTTAGGATCTGAACATATCTTTTTGGGGATGCAATTCAATTCACAGCCGATACCAAGGGCCACCCAGGTCTCCCAGCACCCTAACCTTTGTCCGTCTACTCCTCCCCCACATGAACCTTGCATGGCTGTTACATGCCTTTGTAGAGCGGCACATGATGGCCGGAGTTCCTGTTCTCTCGGAGAGGCTGGCATTAATCAAGTGGTCCCACCATGGATTATAATTTCAAAGAATCGTTAAGTGTCTCAAAGGAAATTTACACAATGGCCAAAAACTTCCTAACACACTTGGAGTAACATTCCACGCTTTTCCTTATGATCTCCAGGGCCCTTCAACATCGGTTGTCTTCCTGTCTTTCCACGGCCGTACATCAGATCCCCCCCCATGATTCTCTATTGTGTGTTCCTAGGGATGAATAGCAAACTCTTTCCTGCCTCAGGGCTGTC